AGTTGAAATTGCGGCTGCAACGCTTGGCTGCAGAGGAATCGGACTTTGCACAACTGGGAGCTGTACATCGAACAGCCCAGGCACATGGTCTGGAGGACGTTGCCAGGCGGGATCTCTCTGGAAGATGTTGAAGACAATGCTCAATGCACTTCATTCAGTCAAATCATTCCTGTTTGCCCGGACGCTGGTTAATTCTAGCACGGTTTGAGGCGCTTGTTGATTCAGCTTGGTAGAGCAAGGGTCGATTGAGTGATCCGGAAGTCGTGATTCGCAGCCGGTGCCCTGAAGCTTCTCCGGATCACGTCTCGGTCGATTTCTCTTTCGAAGCTGAAAATCCGAGGCAGGCGCTGGCAGCTGCAGAGATGCGCTTGCGTCAAGCCTTGGAACTGGACATGGAAGAAGCGCTGCAGAAATGTTTGCAGCTTCGAGACGAGGCGAAGGCACAGCGAATGAGCTTCTTCACTTTGGTTTGTGGCCCTTCAGTGGTGTGAAATAAGTCAATGACTGTATGGCACATTCAGAAAAGCGAGGCCTGTGGCTGGTCAGCCATGGAGCAGAGCGTGGAAGTCCAGGTCTTGCGCCTGACGATGGAGTTGGCTTTGTTGCGTTCGGAGGCAGCGCAAAGTCGCCGTTTCTTTTAAAACCACTGTTCTCGAGAAATCTATTCTATAGTGCTTCAATTGAGTCCATTTTCGTCCGGACTGGAGTCAATGGACAACTTGCTACGTTTGAATTGACCACTTGTGGCACTTTGTGAGCCGCGCCTACACCCTCAGCTCACGGACGACCTGGCCACGATCCGTGCAGTGGAGCTGCGTGCGCGACAGGAGAACTTGGATGAGCTGGCCGAACGGGCAGCAAGGCCTTGGGGTTTGTGGGATGCCAAGTCAAGGTGATTCATACTGGCCGGTTCTGTTTTGAAAGGATCCTGGCATCTATGATATTTTTTTTCTTAATCGCTTCCGCTTCCTATATAAGATGGCCACCGGCACGACCAGGAAGGTGAACGAGACAGCGCGGAAGGTTGGGGAGAAGATGGGGCTGCCTGCTGGCTGGGATGTCGTAGAGCGTATGGCCGGCACTGATGCTGCGAGGTTGCTGAAGAAGGAGCTGATGGGCGAACCTGTTCCATGCTTGCCATTGGACTTCAGAAACTTGTGCATGTGGCTAGGAACTCTCTGCGTCAAATTTGTTCGTAGACTTTGCCCAGTTGCTTTTATTTGTCAGCAGCTTCACTTGGACACAGTGCGAAGGACGAGGAGACGGAACTAGCGCTCTTGAAGAAGGTGCAGGATGGCAGCCAACAAGAAAACTTATGATAACTATCACTTGAAAGTCTTGTAGAACCGAATCCGCTGAATGGCATCCTTCAGGAGTTGGTGGATGCTACCTTCTGGGGCTGGGGTGGCCATGGGGCCAAGACCCGCACCCGTGATCGTGGCAGTGAGCCAGTGGCAAAAGCCTTGAAGGTGCCGAACTCTGTGGCAACTGCCGCGCACCATCGAAACCACAGCTTTAATCATGCTGTGAAGTCTAAAATCATTTCCATGTCCCACACTGTTGAACCACTGGAGTTTTGGAGATTCAATCCTCGAGCTAGGTCATGAGTGTCATCTATGTGCAGAATGCGGAGGCACAAAACATCAGATCTCCCTGTGTAGCACAAACTGAGTTCAGATCGAATTCGATTGAGCTTGTTTTTGTTGACGCCATGATTTTGATTGTTGACGCCATAGCCACCCTGCCAGGTCTATGTCAATTACAGAGCACGGCGTCAAGAGATTTCCGGAAGCATGACGCCAGATATCCCCACAGGGGATGCTTGGGATGTGAAGACTGCTGCGATTCCTCTAGTTGGTGGCCGGCTGAAGGACTTGGGCGGGGCGCGTGATGTCTGAGTCTATGAGCTCGGAATGGATGACTTTAGCTTCAAAGATAGGCCCCTCCATTTGGCCTGCCATCGGCAACTATTTGCGGCACGGAGAAGTGGCAATGCACATGATTACCTATTGCAGCGCATTTGACAACTTGTGGTGCTATTGCAGGCATGCTCTTGCAGTTTCATTGTTTCTATCGGTGGTTGTGTCAGAAGTTACATACGTGCAGGATAGCCCTGTGGATGCCAGCATCAATGAGTTCTACCTTTGGCATGGCTGCAAACCTGAGGGGGCAGAAGGTATCACCGACGCGAACTTCGACATAAAACGTGGCTACCTCAGCTCCAAGGGGGCAACAAACTGAGCGATGGTGTAAACTTGCAGGTGCTGGGTCAGCCTATGGATCCCTCTTTGGCCCAGGGATTTATCTGGCCGAGAGCTGCATCATGGATAAATTTAAAGAGAGGATGAAACCGGAGGAGGTATTCTTAATTTTTGCTTATTTTTGTCGTTCTATCTTCAAATCGGAGGAATCAAGAGCAACCGGGCTTTTGCCAGCTACCTGAGGCATGAAGGCGGATGAGTACACATCTCCAGATGCACGTGGCTACTTCCCGTTGCTGCTGTGTCGCGTGGCCTTGGGATTCTCAGCAGCATTGGGCAGCCTACCAGTAGCTGAGGGAATTGATATCACTTGCTGGAACACATATTTTTGGCCAGCTGAGGCAATATCAACTATTGTGATCACCCTTCGCCGGTCTCCATTGGCCCATCACTGGTTGCTTCATGCAAGGCTGGTGGAGGTTTCCATTCCGTCCTTGGCGACAGGGAGAAGGTCAACGGTACCTTTAGGGAGTTCATTGCAACTCAGCTAAGAGCTGGGGAACTCTTGTTGGTGCTGACATTTTGTGGAAATGATGCAGGTCGCTGCTGTAGAGGGGTATATGATCTCTCTATATGAAACCAATGTTCACTGTTGTGCCCTGGCGCCTGATCGAAGATCTAGCACCCAGACTTGCTGAGTTTCATGCACAGCTGCTTTTTGCCTTAGGCCTTTGACAATCACCAAGTCTATCCCGAGTATATCATTTGGTACCGGCGAGAGTTCTAAGCCGGGCAATGATGACGAGAGTATCCATTCTTGAGATGACCGCCCCCCAATTATTGATGTCCGTGTGCCTTTGATTCAACCACAAGTCCTGAACAGTGCGGCATCATCTCAAGAGTTGTTGAGGATTGCATGCCTTAGCTAGTTAGTTGTGCTCCGGGGATGCCAGATTGTGACATCCCCCGCTAGATAATGTAATTCAACCCCTTTGACTGGCCAACTTTCCCGGCATGTTCAGCGGCTGCACAGAAGGCAAGCGAAGGGTTGGTCAACGGTTGGACTTTGTATGTCCTCACCACTCCAGACACCTCAGTCTATGGTCCATGCCATCGCTCTTGTTTAGACATGGCGTGATCGTGCTACCTACGTAGCCAGGCACGCCTTGGCCACATTTTTTGTAAAGCCAGTGGTGCGCTCGCCAAGTGCTTGCTCACTAAGTGAGCAGCGCGAGAAGCTTTGCATCGACGGTGACCAAAGGTCTGAAATGTGCACCGGATCATTTGAGACTTTCAAAAAAACCTTGAGCAGCAGACAAGCAATGAGGCACCGGGGCAACACCATCCGCGAACTGAGCACACATAGGACATAGGTGATACTGCAATTGCTTCCCTGCCTGGTCCAAGTTGCACTGCAGCAGTTGGCGTGCATCTTG